AGGAGACGAAAAATTAGAAGAAGTGGTAGATATCTAGGAAGTCAGATAAGTCAGAACGGAAGGAGTAGTAAGAATATAAAGCAGAGGATAGGGCAGGGTCGCCATCAATAGAAAGAAGTCACTTCTATGCTCGCAAACGGTTAATTTAGAAATTCGAAAAAGGTTAAGAAAGGTGTATGTTTGGAGCGCGGCGGTGTACGGGTGCGAAACATAGACAGCGGACGCGGCGGAAAACAATAGGTTAGAAACGTTCGAAATGTGGTGTTCCAGGCGAATGATGAGGATAGCGTAGATAGAGAAGGTTAGAAATGAGGAGGTATTACATAGAATAGGAGAACAGAGAACTCTATGGAAGTCAATAAGAAATAGGCGATATAGGTTAGTAGGACACCTTTTCAGGTATAAAGGTCTAGTCAGAGAGGTATTAGAGGCAGAAATGGAATTTAGGAGGAGTAGAGGTAGACCTAAATTAGATAACTGTTCGCAAATAGTTAAGGATGTGGGTTGTTTTAGTTTTAGGGAAATGCGAAGATTAGCGCAGGGTAGGAAAGACTGGAGGTGCGTATCCAACCAGTCTTAGGACAGATGACTTTACGATGATGATATATCAATTTAAATTAAACAAACTAAACGTTTTTAAGCTTCTCGCTTTTCTGACATTTTCTTCTTCCATAAGATTTTTCTTAGCCTTTTTAGACCATCCTTTCCTTCCATTTCACTTTCTTACTTTTTTGTACAATTTCCTGTTATTCCACATCTCAGAATCATGTTCGATCGGTCTCTGGTGGCTATCTACACATCCTGATGCATATTTCCTTCTCTTCCCAGTACCTTACCGTTATATTCTCAATCCATTTCAAATCCTGTTGTTAAAACTAATTCGGTTTTCTCGTTGTTCTATAGCCTTTAAAAAAATGTGATTTTTCCTCTTTTCCTTTCCACATCTTCTTGTATTTCTAAATTTCTGTACTAAACCAATACAACTTTTTAAGAACATTGCCTAAAAACAAAATTCGTTTGTACATTTGAACCCGACGACCTACAGATTTCGAATACTGGACAGCACAAGCATCCTATTTAAACTCGCTTAGTTTCCTTCCTGATCATGACTTTTACATTCAATTTGTATCAGGCACTTGAACCAAGTTTTAATTGGGAAAGCGGAGGAGTAGGAATTTCTGTATGCGGCAAATTTTAAACCGAAAACGTTAATTAACAAACATGGAAATAAATTAATTAATGGAGAACAAAAAATACTTTGGAAAAGTGTTTGGCAACCCTTTTCAACGAAGCAAAAACAAATTTTAAATAGTTAAAATTGGACACGAATGTCTTGAACAAATAATTAATTAATTGTATTGTTAAATTCTAAAAAGATTTAATGATTCTATCATCATAGATAAGATTTTAAAAACGTGCATATGTACTAGGGTCAATTGAAAAGTCCCCGGCCTGACACATAGATGGCGGCACCAGAACTAAATCCATATGATTTTCAGTTAGTCCTAACCTTCAAAAGACGCGTCTATAAATTTGACGGCTGTCGGATCATTAGTTTGTGAATTATAGCATTTTTAGTGAAGCAACTTTTGTTATTGTGAAAAAAATGGATAAAAAGGAATTTCGCGTGTTGATAAAATATTGCTTTTTGAAGGGAAAAAATACAGTTGAAGCAAAAACTTGGCTTGATAACGAATTTCCGGACACTGCCCCAGGAAAATCAACCATCAAGGATTGGTATGCTAAGTTTAGACGTGGTGAAATGAGCACCGAAGACGGTGAACGCAGTGGACGCCCAAAAGAGGCTGTTACGGACGAAAACATTAAAAAAATCCACAAAATGATTTTGAATGACCGTAAATTGAAATTGAATGAAATAGCAGACACTCTACAGATATCAACGGAACGTATACATCACATCATTCACGAATATTTGGGTATGAGAAAGCTCTGTGCAAAGTGGGTGCCGCGCGAGCTCACTTTTGACCAAAAACAACGACGAGTTGATGATTCAGAGCAGTGTTTGAAGATGATCACGCGTAATAAACCCGAGTTTTTGCGTCGATATGTGACAATGGATGAAACATGGCTCCATCATTTCACTCCGAAGTCCAATCGACAGTCATCGGAGTGGACTGCACACGATGAACCCGCTCCAAAGCGTGCAAAAACGCAACAGTCGGCTGGCAAGGTTATGGCGTCTGTATTTTGGGATGCGCGTGGAATAATTTTCATTGACTACCTTGAAAAAGGAAGGACCATCAACAGCGACTATTACATAGCGTTATTGGACCGTTTGAAGGACGAAATCGCCGAGAAACGACCGCATTTGCAGAAAAAGAAAGTCCTGCTTCACCAAGACAATGCACCGTCTCACAAGTCAGTGAAAACGATGGCAAAAATTCATGAATTGGGCTTCGAATTGCTTCCGCATCCACCGTATTCTCCAGATCTGGCCCCCAGCGACTACTTCCTGTTCTCAGATCTCAAAAGAATGCTCGTTGGGAAAAAATTTTCGTCGAATGAAGAGGTGATCGCCGAAACTGAGGCCTATTTTGAAGCAAAGGACAAATCGTACTACAAAAATGGTATCGAAAAGTTGGAGGATCGCTATAATCAGTGTATCACCCTTGAAGGGAATTATGTTGAATAAAAAAAACGAATTTTGCAAAAAAAATGTGTTTTACTATTTTAGGCCGGGGACTTTTCAATTGACCTGTTATATGAAGTTTCGTCGAAGAGAGTGAGCAAAATTGCAAATTTTAGTAGCTTAATAAATAGATGATTAATTATTTATGTTGAATATATCATTATCATTTATCACAATCTATATCTTAGGTACATTTAAATTGCAATTGTAAGTTTTGCTCTGGAAGATCAGCATTCATTAAAACTTCTAAATGAAAACTTCTCTAGCTCAACAATTTTCTCGAACTCCGTAAACTGCAACTGAAGCAGAATTAATTTATTTTTCCTCTGAGTTTTCTCTGCTTGTCTGGGATCTTTTGTTCATTTCAGTTAGAAAATATTACGAACCTTTATCACAATCAGGGAATTCACAAATTTGAATTTATTAATAAAATAAGGTATTGTATTCGTACATGAATAAATACCTAAGGGCTCCGTTCCAGGTTGAGATCTTTGAAGAAATTATACTACGGTGTAATATCAGATATTCAAATGCACCAAGTGAAGTATAATTATTTTAAATTGATAAAGTTAGCCTTATTAATCGTGGATTTTTATAATTACCTCATTGCTGTGATTTGTTCTTAATATACGAGGTTTGTTCAAAAAAATATCACGAATTTTCAATTTCAAAAATTATTTATTCATTCATGAATTTTTTCAATCCTACAAGCAGTTCAAAAAAGCAATTTTTGTGATACTGTTCAGCTCCTTCTTCGATGCCGTCTTTATCTCCTCAATCGGAGCGTAGCAACGCCCTTTCAAGGGCCGCTTCAGTTTCGGTAACAAGAAAAAGTCATAGGGCGTCAGATGTGGAGAATACCGTGACTGCGGCATTATTAGTGTGTTGTTTTTGGCCAAAAATTCGCGTAAAAGCAACGTCAGTGAGCAGAGGTGTTACCATGGTGCAAAAGTCAATTTTTGCTCTTCCACAAATCCGGGCGTTTCTGGCGGATTGCTTTACGTAAATAGCGCATAACTTGCAGATACTATTCCTAATTGACCGTTTTACCCTGTGGCAAGAACTCATGTTGCCCCACGTCTCTGCAATCAAAGAAAACTGTAAGCAAAACCTTCACATTCGATGAAACTTGGCGCGCTTTTTTAAATCTTTCTCGTGCGACAGCCTCCATAGGGATAATTGAGCCCGTGATTCGTCACCAGTTATGACCCTCTGGAGTAAATCTGAATCGTCTAACCTCTTTAGAAATGTTAATGCGATACTGTTTTTGGCCGAAATTGAGCAATTTCGGTACGAATTTCGCGGGGACCCATCTCATGCCCTAATCATTGGTAAAAATCGAATGGCAGAAGCCAATCGATATGTTTAGGTCGTCAGTAACTTCTCTAATGCTGATTCGACGATTGGCCAATACTTTTTACTATTTTCTTCACTTTATCAGTGTTTTCGTCTGCTATTGACGTGCTCGGGCGTCCGGCACGCTCTTCATCGTTCACATCTTCTCGGACCTTTGAGATCATTTTGTAACAAACGTTGCTTCGGTCCAAGGTAGCTTTACCATATGCCACAGTCAATATTCGGAATTCGTCCGCGCACTTAATTTTGTTTTGAACAAAATTTGGTACAGATTCTTTAATCAATTCTTTGGAATAGGCAAAAATCGAAGACGAGCAAAAATACGTGCAAGCAAAGCAGCTATTAAAAATTAACCGAACATTCATTATCGCCGAAATTGTCTGTACAAGTGAGGGACATGAGTACCGTTCGTTTCAAGAAGTTAGAGATATGCTCCTTCCCTTTATTAGGATGCGCCGTAGCATAATTCCAAATTCAATCATATTTGTCTGCGGAGCTCATTTCTCCACCGATCATCGAACGAGACCTAGACAAAAGTGTACAGTACCATTTGCAAAACTATTTAAACTACTTCGTTTAAGTTTAAGAATATGATTTATTTAAAAGCATATTTAGCCAAAAATAATAACAAGTGAATTAACTTAACGTTCTACACACTTATAAAACATTTGCCTTGTTTTCTATTGTTAAATTATATACATTTTGGTTTTAAGAAATTGCTAAACATTTTCGTCTAGTACTGTACAGTTCTAGCCGACATCCTAAGACCGCCCATCGATAGCTCTGCTCGTTCAAGCTTATTCCAACTATTTCTGTCTTGCTCACGCCTAGTGTGTATTCTTTCTATCTTCGCGCAGATTTCTTCAAGGTCACAATTCTAACAAATTGAAATGGACTGTACTAACATAACGCCACAAAAATACTACTTTTTGAACAGACCTCATAACGCAAACTAATGGGACTACTTTATTTTATCAATTTTAATTTGTTTCAGGCTTCAAGATTGGCGATGTTTGTGGTGTCGCGCTACCGTTCATACACAATGCAGGCCACATTTAGCCAAAGCTTGTCCTCTGGGACCAGCTAGGGTAAGTGTGCTGCCCCCAACAGCTTTACACTCGGTATCCGATGAAGCTTGGGAAGCCGTCAGGCCTCAAGCTTCTTCTCCATTATTGGTCTTCGTTAATTCCAAATCAGGTAAGCTATAATATCACCTTAACTTTTCTTGGATTATTTATTTCGGAGTTAAAAAGGATTAAGTAATACTCAATTTTTTGATAGAAAGATACGTAAGAGTGAAACAGTTGAGAAAATGCGGTTGTTTGTCATCAATTGGTGAAACATACACTAAATAGTTTGAAATGTAAAATACAGTGTAAACTCTGTATAACGACACTTAAGAGACTGAACATTTTTCGGCGTTATAAAGAGTGGTCGTTAAATGGAGAGAAATAAAAGATATTATTTTACTATTCTATAATAATATGCATTTACTAATACAGTACACATTTTGCACACGAACATTATTATTCATACATTGCGTATAGCCTGTTATCTTCGTCTGATGTTTTTTGCTGCTCCAATATTTTAATTGTATTTTGTTACGTATCTTACTCATATCTTGAGATACTGCCGGATCAATTTGATTATATAAAAAGTATTTTTTTAATAGTTTCGCTGCATCAAGTGCTTGTTTGATGCTTGGCGTACACAGCTGCAGTTCTTATCTATTTCGGCAACATAGAAAGTACTGCTGAATTATTTATAATGCCGCACTGTTGTCGTTAAATACAGTGAGCGTGACGCTATATGGAGTGTAATATTATATAGAAAACAATGTAAACCAACCAAAGTGAAGCAATTTCGACGCTTTAAGGAGTTTGTCGTTAAATCGAGTGACGTTATAAAGAGTTTACACTGTAGTTGGTTATTGGACTGGCATTCGCAAAAGTTCAACATTCATCTAGGTACAATTCACTACCATAATCCGCTTAGAAACCAACAAAAATATCTGCAGGATTCATATTTCCTGCGGTTGACATAACGCCCGTACACAACTTCGGGTAGTAAAATCGAGCTTAAGCACAGCAGCGCAATTTTGTACAAGAGAATTGCAGTTATCATACACCACCACGTACTATTCGATGCAAACCTTACATTTAAGCTGGTTCTCGCATTTTGTAAGAGTATTGCACGTGCGAGTTCAGTGGATGCTGTTACCACTAGTTTCTGACGTTTACAATATCCACAAACATTTCAATAAATATTAAACTTTAAAATATTCATTGGCTACCTAACAGAATGTAATAATATTCAGTGTAACATTCCAGTGACGTAGTCACGAGGGGGGGTGGTTGCTTATCCCCTCCCCCATCGACCATCAATTTTTTTATTGTGTTGCAATCTGGGGAGTGCGGGAAACCGTTTCAATCAGGTACAGACAGCGGAGTAGAAACAACAACCTTCCTATCATCCTGTACAGTTCTATAGGAAATAGTTAAGCCCATACAGACAGAGACAGAATGTTATAATATTCCGCGTAACAATCCAGAGGCGTAGCCACGGGGGGTTGGTTACTTAACCCCCCATCGTCAAACAATTTTTTTTTGTGTTGCAATCTGGGGAGTTGCGGGAAACCGTTTCTATCAGGTAGAGACATCACATTGGAAACAACAACGTTCCTATCATGCCTGTAAATTTCTACAGGAAACAGTTAAACCCATACTGGCAGACAGACAGAGACAGAAATGTTGTGCTTTAATGGCATATAAATAACCATCATCATCAGATGTACTTATTTACGCCTACCGAGCGGCATGGCCTAGAGGTTTAGACCATTGCTTAGCATTCGGGAGGACGCCGGTTCGATTCCGGGTCCGTCTGCCTTGGTCCAAGTTTTTCTGTGGTTTCCTTGGACCACTTAGGCAAATACTGGGGTTGTAATAATCCACAGATAATCTTTCATTCTCTTCTGTCTTCATTTCGTCCGTCTCGTCTTTCCCACCCGAACCACCACCCACCCATTCCCACGATTCCTGAAAGCAGGCTGAAGAGGGCCTTCCGCCCTACCTTCCAGCGTAGTCTGGAGGGACTGTCCGCCCACCAGCATCACTGGCTGGTGGGAATGAAACACCCAAAAGTTTTTTTAAAGTTTTTCATATGTACTTATTTACAGATAAACCGTACAGTAATGATAATGTGGATTTTCAGTATTATTTTACCTTGATCCCTTCCATCTTCCTTTTACAAATCCTAGCTACGCCACTGTGACATCCAATCGATACAGTTTTAATAGCTGCTTGTAGTGGATACTGATCGCATGGTGAATAGTTTTGATGCAGCTCATAATGATAAAGTTTTCTGAAAGAGAATATTTCTCGGCTGTATTCTCGGAACAATAAATGAGTTGGGTAGGCACCATAAACGGATAACGTACAGCTTCTGTACCTATATATAATACGACCTGGAAAATATGAATAGCGATACCGTTATTTTTTTCTTGTTTCATTGTTTCATTACGAAAATGATAGTTACTCCAAGAAAAACGAAAAGAGCATTCTAAAGCAGTAATTTCTGCCTTACTTACTATCTGTCGCAAAATGAATGTGAAAAGAAAACAGCAATGGCTCTGGGCGGTGTGATAAAAAAATCCCATTTTTGCCTCCTGCTAATAAATAACCCTCGAATAGCAAATTACTTTATCTTTCATGCAAAAAAGGTTTCAGCAATGATCATAAATTAAAGAACAAATTTAACTAACATAACTAACGGATGTCTGTTTCACGAATAAAAAGGATGATGTGTGTAGGTAAGGACTTATTAGGTACATGCCATAAAAGAATAAAATTATTTGTTGGTTCGCTTCATACGTACATAATAATAAGAAATATGTATTTATTTAAACAATGTCGTCGATCACTTATTTAAATATTATTACATAAAGAACCTAAGAAAAAGTAGGGAAAGAGCGAATATAAAGATAGGAGACCAAAAATTAGAAGAAGTGGCTGATTTTAGATACCTAGGAAGTCAGATAAGTCAGGATGGAAGGAGTAGTAGGGATATAAAGCAGAGGATAGCGCAGGGTCGTGTCGCCTTTAATAAAAAGAAGTCACTTCTATGCTCACGAACAGTTAATTTAGAAATTAGAAAAAGGTTGTTAAAGGTGACAGTGGGAGCGGCGAAAAAGAAAAGGTTAGAAGCGTTCGAAATGTGGTGTTATAGGCGGATGATGAGGATATCGTGGATAGAAAAGGTTAGAAATGAAGAGGTATTGGAAAAAATAGGAGAACAGAGGACTCTATGGAAGTCAATAAAAAATAAGCGAGATAGGTTGGTAGGACACCTTCCCAGGCATGAAGGTCTAGTCAGAGACATATTAGAGGCAGAAACAGGAGTTAGGAGGGGTAGAGGTAGACCTAGATTAGATTACTGTTCGCAAATAGTTAAGGATGTGGGTTGTTCTAGTTTTAGGGAAATGCGAAGTTTAGCTCAGGGTAGGAAAGAGTGGAGGTACGTGTCCAATCAGTCTTAGGACTGATGATGATGATAACATAAAGAACATTAACTTCAAGAAAAAGAAAATTAAATATGTATCTGCCAGTAGCGCCCGATCATAGTTTGGCAAGTTGATATCCTTAATTTGAAATGTTAATTAATTAACCTCTTAATTAGTGGCAAATTGGGACAGATAATGAATTGTTATGATTACAATACACTGAAAAGACAGAAGGTACATTATAATCTTGCAAAACGTGAAGATGTTGTACTTTGATTAATGTTTTTCTACATAAAGAACTATGTTTGGAGCGCGGCGCTGTACGGGTGCGAAACATGGACGGTGGGCGCTGCGGAACAAAAAACTTCGAAATGTGGTGTTACATGCGAATGATGAGGATATCGTGAATAGAGAAGGTTGGAAATGAATTGGTTAGAAGAACAACTTCTCAGGCATGAAAGTCTAGTCAGAAACATATTAGAGGCAAAAACAGGAGTTAGGAGGGGTAGAGGTAGACTAGATTACTGTTAGGAAAGAGTTAAGGACGTGGGATGTTCTAGTTTTAGGGAAATGCGAAGTTTAGCTTAGGATAGGAAAGAATGCAGGTGCGTGTCGAACCAGTCTTAGGACTGACGACCTTACTATGATGACATAAAGAAAATGTATAGGGTTGTTCGGAATGTCATTTCGTTTTTTGCCGACAGAGGATTTAATTGTATTCTTTTGCACCCAACTTCACATTTAAGCCATATAATTTTTATATGTTTTGAGAGCTCATATAGCAAGGCTTGTGTGTGAAAAATTCCAATTAATTCTACGCAGTAGTTTTTGGTTGGTGCCCTTTTAAATATGGAGAGCGATAAGCAGCATTTTCGACATATCTTACTGTTTTACTACAGAAAGGGTAAAAATGCTGTTCAAGCCAGAAAGAAATTGACTGATGTGTATGGAGAAGGTGTGTTGACAGTACGCCAGTGCCAGAACTGGTTCGCTAAATTTCGATCCGGCAATTTTGATGTCGAAGATGCACCACGTTCGGGAAGGCCGGTTGAAGCTGATAAAGACGCGATAAAGGCATTAGTTGATGTGAACCGGCGAATAACAACACGTGAGATCGGATTGAGGTTAAATTTATCAAATTCAACAGTTTATGACCACTTGAAAGGCCTGGGATTATCCTCGAAGCTCGATGTATGGGTTCCCCATGTTCTCACAGAGAGAAATCTGTGTCGCCGCATTGACGTCTGCGATTCGCTTCTCAAACGTCACGAAAATGATCCGTTTTTGAAGCGCATCATCACTGGGGACGAAAAATGGGTTGTATACAACAACGTCAAACGCAAGAGGTCATGGAGCAAAAAAGATGAACCGGCTCAAACCATTTCCAAAGCCGATATTCACCAAAAAAAGGTGATGCTGTCTGTTTGGTGGGATTTTAAAGGAATCGTTTTTTTTGAGCTTTTACCGGATAACACAACGATTAATTCGGAAGTCTACTGTCATCAGCTGGACAAACTGAATGATGCACTTCAACAGAAAAGGTCAGAACTAATCAACAGGAAAGGTGTAGTGTTTCACCAAGACAACGCGAGACCTCACACAAGTTTGGTCACTCGCCAAAAGCTTTTACAGCTTGAATGGGATACAATGCTACACCCACCATATTCTCCAGACCTGGCACCATCGGATTATTATTTGT